CCATCAACACCAGATATTCCTGCTTCTCCATCAGCACCAGAAATCCCTGCTTCTCCATCAACACCAGATATTCCTGCTTCTCCCTCAGCATCAGCTATTCCTGCACCTCTATCGGCTCCATCATTCCTGCATCCATGGAGAGGACGGAGTGGTCCCCAAGCTCTCTGGAATATGTCTCCCAAGGCCCAGGAGGATGCTTATGGGATGGCTGACGGGAATACTCCAGCGGGGCTGGATCCGTGCAGCCCCATTCCCTGCACGGAGCTGTGGAGCAGGGCCCTGGCTGGAGGGAGCCGGGATTTCCCACTGGAAGAAGTGTCCCGGGTGATGGTGAGAGCGGATCCCCGTGGGATTCCGCCTCGTGGAGCGGAGCATCCATGGTGGGCGTGGGGCTCGGCGGGCGCCAGGAGCGCGCTGGGGGTGGCTTGGGCTCCCTCTCCTGGCTCTGCCGGGATAAAACTGCGCGTAAATCCTTGGGAATGGGAAGTTCGCAAGCCTGCGAGCTCCCGCCGGCTGCAGGGGACAGGATGGAGGATAGTGGGGACCCGGGGGACACACGTGGTAGCGCGGATCCCTTGGGATGAGCACAACTCCTGCGGAACACGGGCAGGCGGATGCGCAGGAATCTGAGCCGGGTTTAAGAACCAAAACCCCTCCAAACCCGCGCTGGGGGGGGGGGGGGCGTCCCCTGTGTCCCCCCACCTCGCACCTCGCAGCACCCGGAGCTCACGCGTGGACAAGGGCTGTGTTTCCCACATCCCTCATCCCACCCCTCTGTTGTCCGCGTCTCATTCCTGGCTCTGCCGAGCTGGAGGAAGGAGCCGCTGCCTGGGTGGACCCGAGGAATTAAAGCGAGTCATCGGGAACGCTGGATCCTGCCGGGCTGGCAGGGGCTGTGGGAAGAGCAGAGCTCATGAGGTCCGTGTCCAGGAGATTTGGGACACGTGGAGCTGCAGACACACGGCTCCGGCACCAGGAATGCTCCTGGGAGAGAGATTGCCCAACCCATCCTGAATCCAAGCTGGAGAGACTTCACATGGCCCAGCCCATCCCAAATCTGAGCTGCAGAGGCTTCATCAACCCCTTACTCACCACTTGGCTCCCTGAGCTCCGAGGCTGAGCTGGTTGCACCAGTTTAACCCTTCACTTGATGCAACTCTTGGAAAGACACATCCCACTGCCCCTGGCTGGGCTCCTGGAGAACAATATTGTGGAGAGCAACAACGAGGCCCTGCTGTGACACCAGAGAGCCCTGGGCTGGGGTGGTTCATCAACAGTGCTGGCCAAAGCACTTGCTCCAAGGCCATGATGGTTTGCTCTGGGGATGCAGCTCAGGCCCCAAATCTCCTGCTCCAGGGGTCTGTCTGGAGGGCTGGGAGGTGGGAATGCTCCGTGCCTGGGGCTGGCTGGTCTGTGTCAGCACCACAGGGCTGCAGGGACTGGCCATGGCCACAGTGCCACCAGCTGAGGTGGTCCCAGTGCTGCCAGGGGTGATGGTCCCACTGTTGCCTTCAGGTGTGGTGATCCCAGTGCTGCCACTGGATGTGGCAGTTCCAGTGTCACCATCAGATGTCAGGCATGGTGGTTGCAGTGTTGCCACTGGGCACAGTGGTGCCAGTGCTCCCATTGGAAGCAGTGGTCCCTATGCTGCCATCAGATCCCAGTGTTGCCTTCAGAGGTGGTGATCCCAGTGATGCCACTGCATGTGGTTATCCCAATGTTTCCTTCAGATGTGGTTATCCATTGGATTTGGTGGTCCCAGTGAGTCCATTGAATTTGGTGGTCCCAATGCTGCCAGTGTGGACAGGGTGGTCCCAGTGCTGCCACTGGATTTGGTAGTCCCAGTGATGGCATTGGATTTGGTGGTCCCAGTGCTGCCAGTGTGGACAGGGTGATCCCAATGATTCCATTGGACTTGGTGGTCCCAATGCTGCCAGTGTGGACAGGGTGGTCCCAGTGATGCCATTGGATTTGGTGGTCCCAGTGATGCCATTGGATTTGATGACCCCAGTGCTGCCAGTGTGGACGTGGTGGTCCCACTGATGCCAATGTGGACATGGTGGTCCCAGTGATGCCACTGGATTTGGTGGTCCCAGTGATTCCATT